TTGTAATCTCTTCACAGAACATGTCAAATTCTGTAATACCTTTCATTTATTTGAATTATTCAAAGTGAAAAGTTTTATTCATCACTTTTCTAATGTCTTATTGTGAGCAGGTGTTCCAATACGAAACCTTGCATACCGATGCTTGTATCAGCTGTGAATAGAATTTGTCAGATTTACATAATATTATTGTATCTCACATGTCAGCATGTGAAGCAATACAGCTCTGAGCCCAGTCGTATGGGTATATTGGATTGATAGAAAGATGGAGAACAAATATTCACAATTGTGACAAATAGACCAAAGGACCAGAGAGCATAGTCTGAATCATGATTTTAATCTGTGCTTTGTCTATGTGTCAACTTTTGAAGAAAAATGCTTCTTACCCACAATAATAGAAAAGGATTTTGGACATATTTGGTCCAAAGCATCCTTGGGGAAGATGATTTAGTTTTGTTTAAAGTGAAATGGATGGTGTGTGTTGAGAAAAGAAGGGTAGGGCCCAATGGAGGAAATAAAAAAAATAAAAACATTCTGTTTGAAAAGATTTTGAGAACAGGAATTAATTTTGTGTTTAAACAAAAAATCTGGCATCCCCCTTTGGCAGATGATGAAGAAATATAGATATACTGAAGTAATTTTGAAAAAAAACCAATAGTCTGCAGTATATTAGGCTTTGATTGTACAAAGGAATATGGTTACCTTCTAGTTTTGTGCTAGAGGAAATTTGTTTAGCTTAGTTGGTAGAGTCTCAGACTTGTAAGACAGGGGTAGAGGTTCAGTTCTAGGCAAAGGCGAACTACTCCTTTCCTGATACAGCAATATATAGAGGGTTTGACTCCTCTATATGGGAAAGATATAGTCTTTAATGCCCTTCCTTTGTTTAGTTAGAGGGAGTCAAAACATGGATATTCTTTTTGACATTATGCTTGTTGTTGGCAGATTTTAATTCAAGTCTCAGTAATTAAGTGTTGTCTATTTGAGAGCTTTCAAGACTTATAAAACCAAAGCTAACACTAAATACCTTACAGACCTTTTTGTCATGGATTGTACTCCACGCCACTGAGTGTCATTTCCACTCAAATTGCAGCTGTGTAACTCAGTAATTGAAAGATATAATACATCTACTACAATGACAGAGTAGATGAGGGGCACTTTCTCTTTGATAAGCCTAGGTGAATTCGGTTGTTTGTACTTTGTGTCACTAAACATCCTCCCCATACATACACCTATTGTGATAGACCAACTTTTATCTTGTATAAATTTCAATGTTAATATTGAAAGTGTTATCGAGTAGTGCCCGGGTATTGTAGAGCATATTTACCCAGTCTGAGATCTGTATGGATTATAGCTGTGAATTGTAGTCACAATCCCCCCTGCCAGTATTGGAATGGGCCTGACTTTCCTACCAAACAGGTGTTGGGTGGGTGGGCCACCAAATTATGTTAACTTTTGTATAATTTCATTTTTTCTCTCGTGTCAATTATAATAATAATAAAAAAAAATTATCAAACTTTTTTGAGACATTATTCCTTTCAACTCTGGCTGTGTTATTCTGAATACAATGTTGATTGTGATATGATGAAAAGTTTTGGGTACACTATGATATTTCTGAAGATTTCATGTAGACATAATGAAAGAAACGATTGTTAAAACTGTTTTGGGGTTCATGTATCACCAGGGTTTGAGTAGAGCTGTCATCACTCTGATGATGTGATTAAATATATGTATTGTGTGATGTCGCCTTGGAACATAACAACATTAATTATGATGTTGCTGAAAATACCTCGCTTGGCAAACCACTGTAAATTGAAGTAGAATGTTTATTTATAACATTAAATTTGCTGTGTGCTTCGTAACAAATGAGATAACGAAATGTTATGTTAAAGGCAAATGAGTGATTATTTCATTTTTCATTTTCAATTATGAGTATAACCCTCATTTATTCACAATTATGTCTTCACTGATCAGGCATGTTTACTCACAATATAAAACTTGTGTAGCCTTAAAACATATTGTCAGTCCTCCATAACCTGCATTTGGTTATGGTTTCAGATGAGGATCATATAAATATTGTCTATATTCATTGTAATCTGTTGTTAGTTAGGATTTTCAAAGCAGGAACAGTAAAATGTAAATGTGTATGAGTTGCCTCCCTTTGTGTATTAGCTTTCATGTGTGATGAGTTTAGTATGATTCACACATTAGCTTGTTAACAGAATGAGTGCCGACACCTGGTTAATTGTACCCCCAACATACCTTCACTGTACAACACCGTGTTTGAAGAATAATAAATTCCACGTGCTGAATTCTTATTATCTCTTTGACATTAGAATCAGTTAAAATTGCAACGTCCTTTGAGGTGTGCCTATAAACATGCAGTGTAATAATATACACTTTGTACTTGTAATTTTCTTTAATATTTTCATTATACCCTGCTCATAATTCAATACAGATATAACCTACCACTTTCAGCATCTGTGTCTTTCTTATTGCAAAAATGGTGGTTTAGTTGTATAGACTTTGATGAGCGTAACCAGGGGGATTGTTTTTTGATGAAGTGTTTCATCTTTGCAGTAATGTGTCCTGACAATGTGTTCAAGCTGGCTAATGAGGTCAGTAAATCATAACTTTTATATGCAACCCCTTCATGTGACTTAGGATGTGTCACACAGAGTAATGTCCCCTGTCCAAAACCTGATTGTGCAGCGGTACAATTGAAATCAGAACTTCATTACAGAACGGTTACTGACTTTTTTTTCTATGTAAAGCATTGCTAAAGTTAAGAACTTAAATTATCAATTTTGAATTGTTCGTTTTAAAATAAGTTTCCTCATAGGGTAAGTTTTGAAACATCACTTCTCTACAGCTTTGTCCATTGAAAGGCATTACCAAAGTTTTAAGTACTAAATGTCACAATTTCAGTTTTTTCCTTAAAACTTAGATATGACAGTTTCCTTAAGTTACAAAATGTCATTCTTCTATAGCTAAGTCATCACTCAAAATAATTGTGTAACTTAATTTCAAATTTTTCCATCAAACTTAGCAATGAATGAGTTTTCCTGAGCTATGAAATGTTACAATATGCAACTAACTTTGTTCTAAATTTCGTAATTCAAAATTTTCCCATCAAACTTAATTAGAAATTAAAGGGTTTCCTTAAGTTATGAAATGTCACTTCTCTACAGCTTCGTCAAAAGGAAAGCATATTGCAGTTTTAAGAACTTTATTTTCTAATTTCAAATGTTACCATAAAGCTTGGAAATGACAGTTTCCTTAAGTTTCAAAAAGTCATTCCTCTACAGCTTCGTCCATTGGAAAGAATTACTGAAATATCAGATCTGCAAATTTCTTAATTTAAATTTTCCTTTAAGACTTAACATTGTGTTAGTGTGTTACGAAATGCTTCTGAAGATTTGATTAGATATGGTCAATGGTTGTCAGAGAAAACATTGCTTTACCTTGTCACTCTCTTGATATCTAATGATCTACGCCTACGCCTCTTAACATACTCTTTGACAATACAATAGATGACGTCATACCATTTTTGTGATAAAGAAGCTTTCAAGATAATCAAATACTTATGTGTTATTTCTTTATTTCATTTTGAGTTGGACATGCTTGATTGGACTTGGTTTTTCCTAAAGACTAATGGAAATTACATTTTTGTACAAAATATCTTTTAGAATGTTTGAACATGTTTTAGCAATGTCTGACTTTAGAAAACATTTCTTATCAATAAAATGAATATTTGCTTATATGCAATTAATTTGATAGTAACACAGCGTTTATAATGAACATCTTATAATGAAACTCAAAATGAAAAAAAAAAATCATTTAAACCAAATATAAAGGAATTTATGCCTAAAGTTGGCTTTTTCAGAAAACCATTTTAAAATCTGCCATTATCAATATAACAGTTAACCAACATGGTGATGAGTGTTCCATACTAGTATCAGGAAAATTACTTTACTGAAATCACTTGGCATAGTATTGTTTTTGAATTAAAGTAAGTTTAAGAAAACTGTATTTTCAATTAAGTTTTCTGTTATACAAAGAATAGAACAAGACTACATTCTTCAGAAATTGCATAAAAAAAATGGAAAAGGGTAGTTATTTTGATAAAAAAGGAGTCAATTATGTATAAAAAAAATTAATAAAAAATTGAAAATGTATTTGGACATTTTGGAAGATAAAGGTTTATCATTTAAGATAAATTAGGATGTTTCTGAGTGATAAAGATACAATTTGTGTTGATAAAGAAGACATTTAGTTATGGACAACAGAGGTGAATTTTAATAGATCAGAGTTGATAGTGCTTGTGGAAATGCATGGTGTAGAACTGGCTAGCCGGGTCAGTGTGCATTTAAACATGTACCAACATAATTCATGGAGGTGTCCATACATTCATCTGTAGATACACTTAATTAAAATTCAAATTGTTTTATCATATCTCTGATTGGAGATTCACTTTGAGGCAAGGGGCAGGCATTTTATTTGCTGATAGTGCTTTGTGTAAGAAGGGAAATACCACCCTCTCTCTGGCAGCAGGTACTTATCCTTAATTATGATATTTTTTTTTCAAATTTGAAATTTTGGCATTGTGGAACTGCAGCTGATAGTCTGAAGTGTGCGGTGCACGCTTGCTTTGTCCAGTGAGGGCTATACAAGGCAGGTCATGATTTGTGGAAATTAACGTGTAAGGCTGCAGTCATTCTCGGTAAATAGGTCATTTGGGATTTTGCTGAATAAATATATAGGTGTATTTAATCGTTTAATCAGCTATGAATTATGCCTATAACAATGCACATTCACTAAACATTTGATAAAAAAAATACTTGTGTTTAAAAAAGTTTGAAATATGTGTGTAATCAAAGATGTGTTAAAGGTATATTTGGGATCATTATGTAGTAATAGGGTCTCTTATCTTTTGTTCCTTTTCCTGCTGTTTATACATGTATTCTTCATTTCCATCTGAGTGGTTCTTAACTTCATAACAGCTGTCATGCACCCTTGTAGTCATCCTTTTTCTCTTTATCCTCATCATCCTCATTTTCCTCATCCTTATCACCGTTGTCCTCATCATCCTCATTGTTCTCGTCCTCATTACTGTTGTCCTCACCATCCTCATTGTCCTCATCCTTATCACCGTTGTCCTCATCATCCTCATTGTTCTCGTCCTTATTACTATTGTCCTCATCATCCTCATTTTTCTCATCCTTATCACCGTTGTCCTCATCATCCTCATTGTTCTTGTCCTCATTACTGTTGTCCTCATTATCCTCATTTTCCTCATCCTTATCACTATCGTCCTCATCCTCATTGTCCTCATCCTTATCACTGCTTATCATCCTCATTATCCTCATCATCCTCCTTGTCCTCATACTTATCACCGTTGTCCACCTCCTCATACTTTCCTTGTTGTTTTCTCTCTAACAGTAAAAGGTCCTGTATTTGTGATGTTTGTATTGTTTTATAAGGCCTTGTTTGTTTGCTGTGTTTGATGTGACAGTAACTGAGAAATTGTTAGCTAAAAAGGAATTAGGATCAACTTAAAAGGTCTAACATTGACACCACAATAGAGGTTTTATTTCTCTCTAGAGAAGAATGCACATTGTCATGTCATTAACACCTTCTAATTAAACATTTGGAACATAGGTTTTTGAAAATATTGGACATAAAAAATATGTTTTTCTGCTTAAAGTTTAACATCGTCGACAGTCGGTTACTTGAATTTCACTGACAGGTGGATCAACTGTCTGTACCTGAGATGAAATGATTCAAACACAGTTAAACTTTAAACTGTTCCTTTATTCTGCCATCACCTACACTGAATCATCTATTTTCCAGCATCAGAGGACAGGAACAGAATTGTTTTGATAAAATCTGAATGAGGCTCATCAGTGGAGAATGAGTGATGGCAGGAGTAAAGAATGCCTATATATATCTTATCTGTACATGGTGAATGGATGATAAGCGTGTTCATTAGAATGATTGGCCTATTATTGAGGTTTGTCTTCCTTGGGAGGGATTAGGTCTGTCGTACTCGACGCCCATTTAGAGGTTACTCCAACAATTAACGCTGACTAACAAAGCTACAGCTCCCTCACATGCTTGCCAATGTTGAAATCTTTAGACTTGATTAGCTATGTGTTTATCATTTGTTCCGTAAGACCAAATTAACAATTGTATCCTTAAATGCAATTGTCGGCTTTGTCCTGATGTGCATGTAAAATTAAAACAACACGTCCTATCTTCTGGTTCTTTCCACTAAACCCTGTGAAAATAAACCATTTCCTTTCGTTTGACTGAAATCAGATTCTGGAATTGTAGAATTTGTTACAGTAAGGTATTGCATACTCTGATTCATTCGTTTTTAATTATTGTGAATTCCTAATTATCATGCATCAAATTCATAAAAGGTTGACTTTGGTGAAGAAAATAACCTACATGAAGTTTTTATCAGATCACTGTGGACTGATTATACTGCCTGTGTAGCTACCACAAAGATATTACTCTGTCAGTGTCATTCAACGACAAAAATTTTAATGGTATATTTCTTGCAAGAATCGTTTGATTTTTGCAATATGAAACATAAAGATTTGGGCAGATCAACAGAACAGTAAGAGATCGGTGGCCATTATGGAATTATAGTTAAGGCTGGTGCTAGTGCTGTTTCTCCAAACAAATCTAATTCATCTTTTCTTTAATGTCATGTGATTGATTGGTTTTGAGAATGACCAGAAGATCAGAAAAAGAAAAATTGCAGATGGATAGATAGTTCAAATGACAACCTCGTGTTGAATAGACAGCCTCAAACTAAGTGATATGAATTTTGAACATATAATCACAATTCATTTTCTTTGGTTAATGTCAGTCAAGCTGAAACGAAAACCGATGAGACCAAACTTTTTAACAAACGAGCATCTTACAATGTAAAGTGCCAAGGTCTCACTAATAGACAAAAGCGTTTTTATTATTTTTTTCAACAATTTTTATTGTCATGAGCAGATGCAATATCTGTTTACTTGTGTTTAGATAACTATACATAAGTATAAATTACAATCTATGAGATGACATGAGTGTTTGGTAACAATAGGTTGTAGAATATTGGGTGTAAGTAAGACCTGCGACAATCCATCATACCTCACCTCAAACGATTTGAAGTGACAGCCTGATGTAGGCCCTAAAGGGTGTCGGCTCAACCAGAAAAAAATGTGTGATAAGTAATAAGTAGGTATGGTGTTATTGATGTAGTGTGTGGCCCTGTGTGGTAGACAAAAACTACCATACCTTTGATTTATAGAGGCAAGGCATAGTGTCCAAGGCTGTCTACAAAACAATACTATTGGTCATTGAATGATAATGTTTTAAGGAAATCGAATATGTTTGATTTGATAAATTGTGTTAATGGTTGAAATCATCTTTTCTTTTTTCTTTTGAAGTTTTCAATAAGCTGTCATGCTTTGTGAACTTTGGCCATCAGAGGAATTACTTGTACCACCTAGATAAGGGTGTTCATTAAAATGGGTATTGTCAATATCAAGATCCAAGAACTAAGTAGGAAAATGACTGTGGGGTATACTGAAGTGTAAAAGTCAACAAATCAAAAAGTATATAAGCTTAAAACAAGGTCCCATGCTGTCAGGTTTAACAAAGTAAGGTAGTTATGACAAAGGTAAGACAGGTCACCTTGCCATCAGATAAGACAGTTAACTATGACATAGTGTAAGACAGGTCACCTTGCCATCAGATAAGACAGGTAACTATGACATAAGGTAAGACAGGTCACCAAGCCATCAAATAAGACAGGTAACTATGACATAAGGAAAGACATGTCACCATGCCATCAAATAAGACAGGTAACTATGACATAAGGTAAGACAGGTCACCATGCCATCAAATAAGAAAGGTATCCATGCCATCAAATAAGACAGGTAACCATGGCATCAGATAAGACAGGTAACCATGACAGCAGATAAGTAAGGTAACCATGACATCAGATAAGACAGGTAACCTTGGCATCAGATAAGACAGGTAACCATGGCATCAGATTAGACAGGTAACCATGGCATTAGATAAGACAGGTAACCATGACATCAGATTATACAAGTAACCATGACCTCAGAATAGATAAGTAACCATGACATCAGGTATAGCACATAACAAATAAGAAGTTAAACATGACATCAGATAATAAAATCTACCATTAAAGCTAAATTTAATTCATTTTCATTAGGTGAGTTACTTGTTTATAACAGATAAGTAAGTCTACTAATTAACCAATTGAAATGGTAATCGTGGCAAGGAAACCTCCAGAAAGATTTAATTCTGCTCTCTGTCATTGAAATGTCCTTATTTTGTGTGTCAACCCTATCAAAATATCATGGGTGATTATATCTTAATGGTATTGGGAAGCTTTTAATCAGGTAATCTTAAATGTGTTTGTTTAGAATTTGTATATAGGATGTAGTTCAGTCAATGCAGTGCTGGTGCATTGTAAGAACACTTGACAATGGCCGCAATATTCAGTGCTCTGTGTATATGCATGAAAGTTTGACAGCAATTGTAGTTGTGATCACATTGACGTGAGACTTCACAAAGAATCTCTGGGCCATGTTATTCCGCAACACAATGTATGTCAGCCTTTTTTTTATCTGACAGCTAACTTCTCTTTTTGACATTCAAATTATTTCAATCAGAAATTTGGCACATACAGTTGTTGCAAGTTGTCCTTCTGACTAGACTTGTTGTGTGTTTGTTAGTTGTGTTCTGTATAAAGTAATGCACATATTTGTGAGCGTTTAATTCTATGCTGGGGACATAATTTACTGTCATTTTCTTACAACAATAGATAGATCTGGTAGTCTCACCTAATGACCAGTGAGGCGTCGGCTCAGATATAATCGTACCAATTTAATGATTTCATGTATTGTCATCGAATGTCACAAAGTGATCAAAGAGGACGCTTTTGTGAATCTCAGTTTTGTTTAGCGTACCTGAACAGCAACAATTGTGTTTGTGGGTTATGAGACCGAAGGTTGGAGGAATAAGCTGTAATTGTACCTAACAAGGTCCTACCAAGGCTGGCTCTGTAACGCTAGACCATTGTAGTCAGGCGATTGTTTGTAGAAATAGTAACTGTCATGAAAGTGTTGCATGCTTATATTATATATATAACATAATTCACTTTAATTATTTGACTGATTTCTATAGTATACTTAAACAAGCACCACTGACGTTTAGTCTTATCTCCATTAACTTTACCCAGCCACCATATAAAGCCATAGAAAATTACTTAATTAGCAAACATGTTTTTTTCGAAGATGAATTAAAAGTTGATCAGGTCTGTACTGGTGATAATTAGGCTGTAGTGACCATTGTACTGCGTATAACTACCAGATCTTAAATTGATGGTCTATCTCGACTACAAGTCCTCTTTTATCTAACTATTGATTGCCACACCTAATTTTCACCGTTTCGCCAGATCAGGTGACAACTTTTGTTCAGGTTTAATGATAAATCGAGGTATTTTAGTGAAAGTAAAGATGGTTTTGTTGTAATTTTGCTACTTGTGGCCACTGTGGTAGAAGAATCATCATTGCATGATCTTTCAATCAGGGAGATCAATCATCTGTGATCACTCTCTTGATAAACTCAAGATATAATATCATGCAGTACACCAACATTGATTCTCTGTCATTTAATAACACTGTAAAGCATCAGTCACATTATATATAGACACTCAGCTGACAGGTCCAACGCATCACCCATCTGTGTTATCAAAAGAAAAGGATATATTCAATTTCAGACCATTTATCATAAATTATCAAAAACAGTCTTCACTTTTAAGAGTACATCTGGAAAATAGAATCCATGAATAGATTAAGGCGTGTCCACACGATTTGCAGAGGACATTTTCTGTCCTGTGGAGGATGAAAATAACTTTTTATTGTCACAGTGAGTAGGTGTGATTTAGTGTCTCGTCACTAACTTTGCTTATAGTAAATCATCTGGTGATGTTGTTATTGCAAATTGAAGGTGAATGCAATTTTTTTCTCTAAATTTTAAATACAGATTTTAAGTAGTAAATATCATGGCTTTTTAAATTTGAATAATACGTTAAATAAATAAAATCATAAGAAAAAGTTAAATTTCAGGAAATGAAATTATAATTTTGATAAGTTGAAGGAGTAAATCATTTTAAAACGTTGCAGTATCGTAAGAATTTAAAGTGGAGTTAAATAGAGTAGGAATGTGATACAGTTTACAGCTTCAGTTTGTGGTTTGTAATTGAAAAATGAGTAATAATGTTGAATATTCTGATTCACCTGTCGTTGCTGACAGAGCTGGTGTCATGGCTTATCACACACTTTCCATGTAC